TTTTATATTGTATTAAAGTCTGTATAATGTAATATAAAATGTATTTAGAGGAGACTATATTTATATATTCCTATGTGTTTTTAGTTGAGACACTTATTTGAAGTTTAATTTAAAGAAATAATGTTTCTAAGCTCTATGTGCAGAGTTCCTCTAGTCTCAAGGCAGAGTCAACAGTCCTCACACCTGGGAAATCCATCAGGTCCATCCCACTGGAGATTTGGAGGGCAGACTGCTGCCCTTCGATCCACCGACTAGAATTCCTTATCTCAAAACAAAGATTTTACTAGAGTATTTTATGTGTAATTTATCAGAATAGCTGTCAAAATGTTCAAATTTGTTTTTAAAAAGCAGAAGCTTTATAGCAGACAAGCTTGAGGGTGATTTTGCATGCCCTTCATTTTCCCTAAGGTCTCTGAAGTCTAGTTTATTGGTAACTGCCATATTACTGTTCCTGTCTCAACCGGCTCCTCATTACTCAAAGCCAACGATAATTGTTAAATATGACTAATATCATGTGGAAGGTCATGAAGTTCATGGCTAACCTTCATTGCAGCTCAAAATTTTTTCAAGGTTAATAGATTGATTTTGAGCTGAGAGAGAAGGCATTTAGAAAATGGAAGAAAATGAAAAATTTGGCATCACCAATATGGAGATAGTTTTAAATGATTCATTTGTTACATTTGGACTATAGCCATGAAATTCATTTGATCTATATCACATAGTTATAGTCTAAACTAGACACTGGAAAATAAATTAATGTAACATTTTAACACCAGCGATTTTAGACACAAACCCTCCACACACACACACATGCACAAAATCCAGAATGAGAATTAGGGAATTATAACATTTCATTATCATATAATATATATAGTATATATATCTACACACATATGCACACATATGTAAAATGTGTGTGTTAAAATAGACCTAAACACTTTCAAAGATTAAGGCTGCACTAAAATACAGAAGAGTTAAAATTATAATTCTGAAAGACTGGTTGTGATTGTTTCCCTTTGTTTCCCTTTGTCTCCTTGTTTGGAGCAAGAACAAATGAAATTCTCAAATGACCTTGTCTCAATTCTGTTACAGAAGTCTCCTGTTTTGTTCACAAACCCTTAATTGAACTTGACAAGGCCTGGAGGATCCCAGAGAGATCTTTAGCTGTCTTTCTGATACTGTTCAGTGCCTGCTTCTGGTCCTGCTCTTGCATCCACTCTTTTAATTTGAATTTCAAATCCTGTCTAGTGAGTTTAAGGATTCTTGGCCCCTGGTACTGGCCAGGGCTTACACTTTGACTGCCCTCATCAGAATATGGTCCACCAAATGGACCAGTGTTCCTGGGAGAGTCTTTACTGGGACTAAATCACCAAGGCTTGCAATTTCTTCTTTCAGATTTTATTTTATTCTGATTCCCCTTTATTCCATAATGTCTAGCGTTCTAATTGTACCTTCTAGCTAGATCACTTCTATTGTCAGTTTCCTCGTGTCTAACTTCCTGACTCATTAGCTCAACCACAGTGAACATTTTGGTAATCTCCCCTAAAACACCACCCATGCCTTCCTTTTATCCATCAAACCGCACACACACCCCTGGACTTGGCTCTGGAAGTTTCTGACCTGTTCTACCAGATGTGCAGTAAGTTCTGGTTCCGTTCTTGCATTGCTTCCTGTGTCCTCAAGGAACTGATATGTTCTACCCTTGACTCATCTCTCCCCTCATCAACTGTATGAACCTATTATGGTCGAGCTTCTGTTTATCACCTGTGAACTATGGTAAAAGTAAAAACTTCTTACAAGTTTGTGAGGACTAGCTACATATTGCAGAAAATCTATAACATGCCTGATAGCATTTGACAAGGGTTCAAAATGCGCATAAGAAGCTTTGTTATCATCAGCCTTCCAGGATTTATCATGACTTCTAGAAGATTCTCTACTTAGCCCTGTTCCTTGTTTATCCCAAAATATATTCTGAAAGTTTTTAGAAAAACAAGCCTTGTTTAGGACACCATTTTTTCTTATGCTATGACTTCATTAGAAAGGAACCAGGAATCCTCCTTGGTGGCACAATGGGTTAAAGCACAGCACTACAAGTCAACAGCAGCCACTTCAGTGTGAGTTCTGTACCCACCCCTGGAGGTGATCTACATGGTGGGCAGACCTCTTGACCTGTCCGCTGCTCCCCTCAGCAGTGTACTTCATCAGTCGGCCTATTCTCCCCACTCTGTCTCTGGTGAATCCTCTCACCACCCCTACACCTCTGGCTTGCATCCCAGTTCTGTGTGCATAGATAAACAAATCTTTTTTCTTCTTCTTTTAAAAAAAGGAACCAGGAAAAAACTCAAATTCATAATCCTAACATATAATCTGTAAGTAAGACATTGTCACTGAGTTAAGTCTACAAATCCAGTCACTTCTTTCCTTAAACTGGGTGGGTTAACTTCCAGAAAGCCTCAGTATCTCTTTGTGGGGGGATGGAAATAAAGGAGAAAAAGAAAAGCACTATGATTCTCTGACTGGTCCGCCAGTATTCAGTCTTCTAAATGCAGTGACTTTACTTTGTTGTCTTAAGGCTTCAAATCTGAGTATAGCAACCTGCACAAACACATACCCTAGGCAGATGCATATACACATATTTACACAACTATTTCAAAGTTGAAAATATTAAGACAAAGCAACCAGAAACATGTTTCACAGTTGTGTTCATTTTCTTGTGACTTAACTTGGGAGCAGTTTTCCAGGTGACATGATAAGCAGACAAAAAAAATGGAATACACAAAACATTAGAGCCAGAAGTCACTTTGGAGATCACCTAATTCAGTTTCCTCAGTTTGCAAATGAAGGAAATGAGGTGCCAAGAAATGAAGTGATTGGTTCGGAGTCAAAAGTAATGTTCAATGTTAAACCTAAATTAGGCCCCTGGACTCTCTAAAATCTACCTATACTTCTATTTTGAAAAGCTGTCTTCCTTTGTCCAATTTGGGGCCTTAGAGCTGAAGTTGCTTCTTAGAGCTGAAGTTGCTTCTTCCCCTGAGGTGTACCTAGGGTGTTTGCAAACAGCTAGTCTACTCAGGTCTATGTTTGTGGTTTCCATACTTCCTGTACTTAATATATTACACTAGGCTTGAAAAATTTTTAATTGATACCTTTTATGTTTCTTGTATTCAGTACTTTCATTTAAAATTCTCCCCTGTTCTATACACCACCCTGCCTTGTCCTCAATTTTGTTGAGAAGTCATTTCTGACCTGAAAGTTGTTATCAGAAAGCAGTAAGAGGAACACTATTATCCACTGCCTGCCCTATTATCCATTGCCTGTTAAATTACATGCCTGTTGCTTTTTGCTATTTAATTTCATAAGATCATCCTTCTATCACTCACCTGAAACAGGAACTTATGGAAACAGTAGACAATCTTGGCAGAAACCGAAGAAAACTATTGCAGGGTGTGGGGGGAGGGTCGAGAGGTAAATGGATGTATCGGACAAATGACAGGGCTGCCTATTCAGTCATGAGAATGGAAACATGTCTGCGAATCAGTGTATGAAAAGGATATTTAATTGGATGTGAGAAGTCATTTTAACACCTGTTTCTTCTGCAATTGAATGTAGTAATGCCTATCACTCACTGTCTGGATCCATTTTCCAAGACAAAAATGACCTCATCTCTTTTTCTTAAAGGATGGAAGGAGCAGAGTCGGGTCTGTTTTTAACAGTCCTAGGAGTAATAACCAGTATTGACTGCTAAGAAAGTTTGACTTAGGGGAGTCTAGTCTGAGGCTTTGGGAATCAAGAGCCAGGAGAGAGGGTGAAACAGAGCTTGTAAGCTTGAGAGCATGTGGTTAGATGTGAGATTGTGAACACGGCCACATGAAGTTGGAGATGCAGAAAATTAAAAATCTGAATTAAAGTTCAAATAAGTTTACCCAGAAAATTAGTGGGCCTAGGGTCATAATGCCAAATGAAGAGGAAGAGGCTCAGCCAAGCCTTTTTATTGCAACCCACAAAGGTAATGGAAATTATTTTTAATTGTAGTTGTCTGTGTTGATTTTGGTTAGATGGAAATTAAGGTTCATTTATTGGGGAAAAGTATTCAGGGTAAGTCTCAGCAGGGCTCAGCAGGGAGCCCTGTGCCTTCCCCCATGGAAGGGTGCCCTTTGCCTGCACTATGTAATAAAATGTTAATAATAATTTATTATTTTTCCACCTTTCACCAAAACTTTAGGCTTCCTTCATGCATGTTTGTGGGGACTGCATTTCATCAGAGACCCTCCCCTTGCTGATCTCACTTTTCTCCTTTCCCATGCACCTGAACCAGCACTGTGGCAAGTAGTGCAAAGAACACAGTATCATGATTATCTTGGCCTCAAAAATGTATTACTTATATTTTCTTTCACTTTTATGTTTCTCCAAGGATGAATGATGCATCTAGAACACATTTCCAAATAGCTGACAACTTCTGTTAAATAAAATTCTGTTTTTTTTTACTATATTCTGATGACTGTCTAATTCTTGATTTATACTTGTTAGGAGTTCTTCAGTTAGACGCTGATATCCTTCAAGACTCCCAGGTGGTATGTCACTCAGTTATTCTCCTCACAGTACATCGGAAGAGGCACGTAGGTAAGCAAATAATAAAGTTGTAATATAAATTATAATGAAATAATATATGGGATTTTGTGGGAGCATAAAAAAGGTGATAATAAATTCGACCTAAGGGAGGGAATTTAATTGAAAAGAAATGTCAGAACGAGCTTTTGTGGTGGTGGGGAAGTGTATGTGTTTTAAACAGGAAACAACATTTACAAAGCCCAAAGGTGTGAAGACATTTTACACATTCAAAGAATAGTCAGTAGTCCAATCTGGCCAGAATGTTAAGTACCTGAGCCAGGCAAGATGGGGGCTGGGCTTAGGGCAGCAAGAGATGATGGCAGGGAAACTGAAAAACTCTACTGACACCAAGGACTCAGAATGCTTTGCCTAAGAGCAGAAAGCACTTTAACTTACCAGCCCATTCTTCCTTACAACATGCAGACATCACTTAATTCTAATCATCAGGGATTTTGCCTCTACAGTTCTTCTAAAAAAAAAAAAAACAAAGATGTATATTATTTATGCATACAAGAAATGGGGTGTAGCCAGAGGTGCAGGGGATAAGAGGCTTCACCAACAACAGATTTGGGGGCAGAAAAGGCAGATCTCCTGAAATATAATAGTAAGGGGAACAGTGGGTGAGACAGGAGAGATCTGGTTGGTCATGGGTCAGCTCCCTGGCAGGGGCTCCAACTCATGCTGCCAGGACTAGATATAGCTTGATAGTACTAAGACTTTGGCCTCTGTACCTCCAGGGAGGCCTGCCTCTACATTTGTTCAGAAACATTTATTCCCTTCTTAGGAACCCAGGAAGTTCACAGCTTCATAAGATCATCCTTCTATCATTCACCTCAGGCACAATATTATGGAAACAGTAGACAATCTTGGCAGAAACTGAAGAAAAACTGTTGGCTGGGGGTGTCTATAGTGGATGTAATATAACAAATACAGGGGTGCAGTTATATGGAACCATGTGACTGAATTCTACCCAATGAAATGTAAGTGCATCATACACTTCTGAAAACCTCCCATGGACAAATCTGAGATGCCCAAAGATGGCAGAGTTAGAAAATGGAGAGATTTTCAGTTCCAGAACAGTTTGGTGGGAAGTCCACCATAGATATCCCATCAGACTATGAGTTGAATTGATGAACAGGAAAAAAAAAATCTTTCATAGTATAAAGCTACTTGAGACTAGAAAGTGTTGGTTACAGTGGTTTAGCAGTCCTGACAAATTCCACAGGTGAGGATAATATCAGGAAAAAGCAGTTGTTTATATGATGGTATGTCTGAGTATATAGTAAAACCCAAGGCTCCTGTTTCTTGTTCTCCAGTGGATTCCTAACCTATGAGTCACAGCTCCAGATTCTTTCTGATTCTAACTTTTTGGCAGTTAAGTGTGCTTGATTCTGGATAGTTTTTTTATTTTCCATAATTTGACTTCTGAAGTGGATGCCTACTTCAAGCCCATAGAAGATTAGGGATTCACAATGGTTATTTTATTATTTGAAAAGCTCAAACTTTCTGTTCTAATTCAAGTTGGCGGTACTTTTGGTAATCTATCTCTCTATATATAACTTCTTTGTTTTTATACAGTGTAAACCAGTAAGGTCAATCAATAAGCTTCATCAAGTCAGTGAACACACTCATAACTTCTTGAGAAATGCTCCACAGGTAGTTTGATCTTATCAAGCTTCAGATGAAGAGAACTTTAGTCTTTCTCCCCCCTCAATTTCTTTCTCTTATCAGGCATGATGTAATAGTATGTACCTCACAAGGCATGGAGGTCAGGCCCACAGTTATCAATTTCCTTCTCTTCTCTAGATGAGAAGGGTCACATTACTCTAATCAATAGATTAAACAGTGGGCATCTTGAATTGCTGCTCAATCTTTGTCTTTGAGATTCTTTTACCTGTTGGAGATGAGAAACAGTTTAAATTGTCAACCCTCAACATAGAATTTCTGGACAACTGAAGTTCTGTTGGGTTCCTTTTGGCTCTCTGTTCCATGTGTCTTCTCATTCCAGATTCCAGGCTGAAGTAAAAGCCAGCATAGGAAACTTGATAGTTGGTGGTCAGAATATGAGAATACAGGATATTGTGCAAAGCCTTTAAAATCCTCTGTTCTCATTTACCCAAAGGACACAAAAACATTAATTCAAAAGGACACCTACACCCCTGTGTTTATTGCTGCTTCATTTATAATGGGGAAGATGTGGAATCAACCCAAACACCCAAAAACAGATGACTATATCAAAAAGATGTGGTATACACAGTGGAATATTACTCAACAATAAAAAAGATAAATGCATGCCATTTGTGGCAACATAGATGGAGTTGGAAGGGATCATGCTTACTGAAATAAGCCAGAAAGAAAAAGAAAAATACCAGATTGCTTCACCCATAGCAGGAGTGTAAGGGATCAGGAAAAGTAATTGTAATAAAAAAGAACATCAACTAACAACTATAAACCAGAGACTTTCTATGGGGAGGAGAGGGGAACAAGACCAAAACTGGG